TCCCCAGCTGTCACGTCCCCCTGAGTCCTGTTCTGGGTTCTCTCTGTGGTCCTCTCTTCCCACCTCTAAAATAAGGAGATAAGATGGCACTGATGTGCATCATCCCGGCCCCAAAGCCTGGCCACCAGAGAAGCATCCATGGTGGAAGTTTGCAGTGCGCTGTCCAAGGCTGAGCTGGCCTGGCTCAGCGTCCCCTCACTGGGAAACGTTCCATCTTCAGGGACACCTGGTAGCCTCCCTTCCCAGGTGACAGCAAATACTTCAGGCCTGTGATGCTCTCGGGCAAAGAAAATGCTGGAACCAAGAAAATAGCTGCAGTTTGAGGCCACTGTAGAGTGCTGTCTGGTTTCCGCTGAGCTATTATCGGTAAGAGCTCGAATGATGGACACGGCATCGACTCTTTCCATAGCTGCAGCAGCAGCAACAGTCTCTCTCTCACATCTGCTCAGTCAGGACGGGCTAGCACACGCTGGGGTCCTTGGAGGAGACGTCATCTAAACCTAGTTTTTCTTAATGAGACAGAGATGAAAGGCAGCCTCTGAGGTAAACCATGAGAACGACCACCGGGCAGATATGTGTGAAGTCGAGGGGCTTTCAAACCCCAATGACCTGTGTTCAGATTAGGTTCTGCCTTGCACCTTTCGTGGGGCCCTGCGGGAGGACCTCAGCTTAAGACATCCCAAACCTGGCAATGTCACACATCTGAAAGTTAGTGGTCGTTCACCCTACCCACCCACCCAGGGGATTCTCTTATCTGAGGGGTCCCTTGGGAAGACCAAATCATTTCAGGGATCTCACCACTCCCTACAGCAGAGGGAGAACCTGGAGACAGCCCCTTCTAGAATCATCCCCCTGAGGCAGCTGCTCTTTTTCTAGGTGGTAATTTGGGGATCTGGACTTTGGGTGTTGTTGGGGAAGTCCTGTTATTTGCCTGTTATTTGTCAATAAAGTACTGTTGAGCCTATAGGAATCTAGATAGGTGGGGCTAGGAGTCCAGGAGGATTCTGGGAAGGAGAAACACAAGAGAGTCGAGATGTAACGCCATTGGGGTAGGAAGCCCGGAAACCTCTCCGGTAAGAGACATACTTAGATTAACAATTATGGGGTAATTACTTAAAGCAGAGCTAGCCAGTAAGAGACAAGCAAGGCCAACAGCTTCATAATTAATATAGCCTCCTGTGTGTTTATTTGGGACTGATGCGGATCTGGAACCAGGCGGGCAAGAAGGCTTCTCTCAAGGAAAAAGCTTCTCTTAACAGGGTGTGACACAAGGAAGGGCTGGAGAAGCCTGAGCCTGGACCTGTTCCATCTCTGCAAGACCTGGTGAGCAAATCTCCCTCCTGGAGCCCTGGTGTCCCCAGCTGTGAAGGGGGGACTCACAATGGGGGCTGTGATGTTGTAGCAAGATGCAGCACGTCACAGAGCTTGACACTTGGGCCACTGTCCTTCTGGAAGGAAACCAGGAGCTCTGGCCTTCACGATTCACACCTATGACCCAGAGGGCAGCAAGGCCACAAGGGCCACCCCTTACGTCAGCTTACGGTGCCTTTGAGGTCACAGCCCCTTCCCTCCCCTTCCTGCTGCCTGGACTCGGGGTTTCTTAACACAGTGACGACTTGGCAGGGGATGGGGACTGCCTAGGACAGGTCAGTAAGCTAACTGAAGAGACACAGCCCGCAAGAGCAGTCAGCAGCGAAGGGCGAGGTGGTCGAATACTCACGGGCAGTGCCACCAGCAGTGACTCAGGACACCTCACGACGCGCCCTGTCACCTGCCAAAGCCAATTTGAAGAGCTGGCCCTTTGAGTGCCAACGCCCCCAGCTACTTTAATTGAAACTGTCACCCTTCCCAGGGTCGCTCAGTGTCCACCTGTCCTTCCAAGGGGAAGCAATTAAAAGGCGACAGGCGCCATGACACAGCAAAGGAGTGGTCCCAGATGTGATTCTCCTTTACACACAAGGTTGAGCCGCCCTTGCCCAACTCCTGGAAAAGCAGCCAGTAGAAGGCATTTGGGAGCTGCCTGGGGCTCTCCACGACTTAGAGGCCATCAGGATCTTGCAGAGGTCTCAGAAGACAAAGCCTGAGCTCTGGGGTCCACTGTCAAACAGATCCTCAGAGACTAGGGAGAGAGCAGCTGGGCCAATCCTGGTGGCTGTGAATCCAGGCTGTGGGTACATGAGGGTCACCTTGTTCTTCTGGCTGGAATAGTGACTCCTGGTGTCTCACTGTGCTGATTTGTTTGTTTGTTTGGTTGGTTGGTGTTTTTTGTTGTTGTTGTTGTTGTTGTTGTTGTTTGTTTTGAGGCTGCATTTTACTTGAGGAAGTGTCTCTAGACACTGACACAGCATGGGCTACACACCTGCTCACCTAGCTGTCTGCATTGTAACCATCAGGTCAGGGCAGTCACAGGGCCTGGACACACAAGTGTCAATGACGCCAAACCCTGCATGTTCAAGACTCTCCTGCCTCCACGTAGGGCAGGGATTTTATGTGCTGCCACTCACTCGTCACAATAGTCACCAGCTGACGTGCACGGCTGAGCAAAGGCAGTGGGGCCGTCACCAGCCCTGTATCAAAAACCCAGGGCTGCTTCTGAGCAGAAACAATGGCCACCCTGGCTCCTACGGGATGGCGATTTCTTCCTGGAATGGCCTCCAAATGCTGGGGAAGGTGCTGGGCTCTGTAGCCAACAAGGGACTGTGGCACTTCAGCAAGTCTGCTATGGTGGCTACATAGACTGAGATGCTTGGAGCTGGGAGCATGGTGATAGGTACCCCAAATGAGTTGGCCCATGTGTTGTTAGGAGACTGTGTATAGTGGGTGGTGATTTGGGGGTTCCTGCGGCATATGCTGGCTGCTTGGGGTAACGCAAGCCCAGGTGTATTTTTTGGAACGGGAGCTTGTTGTGAAGTGTCCTCCATCACTCAGAAGCACACCTGTCTGGGGAGATGGGCACAAGGTTCTGGATTAACATCTGTACACAGGGAGGTCAGCCAGATTATTAGACTGTGGCAGAAACTGCCATGCTCTACCCATGTGACCTTGTTCCTACCAACAGGACTGTGACGGGCACGGTGGCTCTGTGTGTAATGTCCAGGCTCTTGGCTCCGCTGAGTCATGTGACACAGTTCTAGCCAATGGTGGAAGCAGATGGCTGTTTCTGAAGAAATAGGCTTCCCTCCTTAGCCTCTTCCTTGTCTCTCTCTTCCTCCTTCCTTCTTGAAAGAGGTTGACAAGAGACCAATGGCCTCAGGAGTGGAGGTCATAGGTGACACCAAGAGGCAGCAACTTGGGATGGAGTGGAATGTGAGAAGTCCTTGGACCTGACTGATGTCCTAGGCCTCCCCCATCAATGCCATTCCTGTCATGGTGTCTTGTTCCTTCACCCTGTCTGCCTGCACTTGGCCTGTCCAGGCTCCAACTCTTATCCTGTCACCAGAATGGAATGAGGCCCGGTCTCAATTTAACTACCACATCCATGGCTGCCTTAGTGTGCTTGGAAGCAAAGATGTCCCACAGAACCAGTGTAAGCTTCCCGCCCAGCCCCTCATCATTGCAGGTGACCCCTTTCTAGACCAAGGTCGTGAACACTCGGGGTGGTGAAACTAGGAGAGGTTAGGGAGGGGCTTCAACTGCTCCCCTGACTCCCAGGCCATGAGTTGCTTGCTGGTTCCTCTCCAGGGATGGTGGACAGTTCAGAGGGCAGGTGGAGTCAGGGAGTTTGGGAGATTTCAAGCACAGATGGACAAAAAAGACTCATTCAGGTCTTGTGGGCAAAGGAGACTCAGAGGCCAAGCCTACAACTGTTACTCTGTATCCCATCCATCCATACCCAAGGCTGCAGTTCCGAGAGTCTGAGGACAAGCCCCGCCTGCCTGGAATATTGTTCTCACCCAGATGGCATGAGGTGGGCTCCCTGGCAGAGACACACTCCCCCCAGCAGGAAGAAGACGGACAGAGGAAAAGACTTTTGTTGAAGGGCACAACCTGGTAGTCAGAATGTCCCTTCCTTCCTACTGACCAGAATGAGCCTGTAACCGGCTCAAGTCATGGACAAGGGGGAAGGTGAGCTTCACACTGAGAAGCCTGAGGTTGTTAATGACACCAGATAAGGGCATGCCGAGGGGAATCCGGATGTCTCTGCCCAGAAACATTTAGCTGGGAAACGCTCTCACTACTGGGACACCCAGACCTTGCCAAGTTTAAGGGAAGTTAAAACAAACCTGGCCTGCGGAGGGTCCAGTGTCCCAGGGTTCATCTCAGAGGGCCAGACAGAAGTTGGTTCTTTAGACTCTAAAACTCATCTTGGCACACACCTACGGGGACAGCGTCCCCTTGTGCACCAGGGCGCCATGCTGCTAGTAGAAATGAGGTCTTGCTGAGGAAAAATGCTCTGGGCCAGTTTGGACAATCTCCCGAGACCCCGAAGTCCTCTCTAGATGAAGAGGCAGAGACGTGTCTCCACTCACCTTGGTTGGCAGGCTGTAAGTCATCCTGTTAGGACTATGCACTCATTCTCTGCAGAGTGCCCAACTGTGTGGATCCTGGGTCAACTCCTCAGGTTCCCAGGGCGATCACTGGACACTTCCCTAACCTTGCTTTCCTCATCTGCGGAATGGGGTCAATGATGGTCACAGATGAGAATCAAATAGGGGCTTTTATCTGACAGCTGCAGAGCAGAAGCAGACACGAAATAGGCATAAGCGATCAGTTAACAGTGATCTCTGTCTATTTCTGTTTCCTCTCTGCTTTTCTATGTGTGTGTGTGTGTATGTATGTATATGTGCCTGTCTGTCTGTCTGTCTGTCTGCCTGTCTGTCTGTCTGTGTGCCTCCAGTTCCATTCCTGGGGCTACAACAGGACAGCCCTAGTCCTCTGGACCCTAGTGTGTCTAAACAATGTTTGACTTTGCATCACAAAAAGCACCCTGTGATGTCAGGGAGCCATGAATCACAGTGACAGCTCCCCTGGTATCCAAGAGACCTCCCCCTCCCACCCACTGTGAGAAAGTCACTATGCCAAGCCTCAGCTGAAGGGCCTGGATTCCACGTGGAATGACCCACATTGTGTCCGCTATGGTCCAGTCAGACTCTGGCTAATTTCCTGCCTCTCGATGTCCTGGGAACCCGTGCTGTTTGCTCCCGTCTGGAGCCTCTGTGGCTGGGGCTGAGCCCTGGTTGCTCTGGCCAGGGTTTCCATAGCCGCCTCCAGGCTCCAGACTCTGGGACCAGGCTGCTGCAGACTGTGAATGAGGCCTCTCCTCTGCCCTCTGTGCCCCCCATCTGAGCTCCTCTGTCCTGCTCTTTCGTGTGTCTCCTGTGGAGGGTCAAATTATTTGCCCACTGACAGTGACCTAAATTTGGCAGCAGCGTTGCTAACAACTGGGAGCTAGGTCGCCACACTTGATGGGGACAATTCCAAGGGTGTTCGACAGCCCGAGGATATAAGGATAAAAATTACAGCAGCCTCCAGCAGTGACTGTAAGAGGAGTCTTGGCAGAGGAGGAATTGCAAGATAAGAAGAAAATCAAGGAGCTCTTGCTATGAAAACCTGACTCAACTCAGCGGAAGCCCTCAAAAGTCCCTTCAAATGAGGTCGCAGGCTCCCTGGAGAAAGGACTACTTCTGTGACTGCATCTTAGGAAGACACTCTCAGTCCTAACAGTTCTCAAGTGGCGTTTTAGCAACAATTTCAAAAATTCATTTTCACTTCAGTAAAATGAAAGTCATAGGTAGTATAATCAATATACTTAAGATTTATTACTCTGTGTGTATGTGTATGTGTGTGAGTGCACACTCTCATGCCTGCCAGCAGGGGGCAGCAGATCTTCTGCGATGTACTTAGCAACCTTTGTGAACCACCCAATGTGGGTGCTGGTTCCGAATTCCAATCCTCTCAGTTATCTCTCTGGCCCCATACATGATTTTATTTTGTTTTGTTTTTAAACTTGATGTCCAAACTGTAACATTACAAAAAAGTAGGGATGACATGAGAAGTCAATGCAATATGGAATATATTTATTCACATACAAGCTGAGAGGGCAGAAAGCATGGCAGGCTTCCAGAGGAGAAGAGAGAGTTTCGTTTTCTCTTTCACTTCCTTTTATCCTCACCTGTGCTAAATTTCCCTATCCCCGCCCTTATGGGTGTGAAGAGTTTTGTGGGTTCACCCCTACATAGGGAAAATGATAGAGGTGAAGTAGTTTGCACTGTGACCACGTCTCTCCCCACTGTGCAGGCACGAGTGCCCGTGAAGAGCAGATCAGCTTCCTAGCCAAGACCGGTGACCAGTGTCCTGAGTGGGTACCCCAAATGCCTCAAGATGCGTGTGGACTTCTTTTCAGTGCAGGAAGTACGAAGGCTAGTCCGCCCTGAGCTGAGAGGTCCCAAAGTGTCTAGGGGAATGCTGCATCTTGCCCCCTTGCTGCTAACCATGGGACCATCCTACAGATGGCTACCTCAATCCAGGAAACCATCTTCTACAAGCTTGAGAGGCTGTCTTCCCACATAGAAGCCTTAAGACCGGTGGAGGCTGGAGATACCTCGGGCTCAACAAAGAATTCCAGGATCTTCATTTCCAGTCACGGGAGACCAGGTTGATGCAGAGGTTGGCAGTGGTGGTTGCTAGAAACATCCCCCACGGGCTCACGTGTCAAGTTGGTGGAGCTAACTGGGAAGGTTCCAGAAATGTGCGAGGGGTGGGAGCTAGCTGGTGAAGTAGCTCACTGTGGGTGGATCCTCAGGTTATCTACTCCTTAGTCCCCTCCACTCTGCGCTTCCTGGGAGCGAAGACGCCCTCTTCTGCACATGCCCAGTACCACATTGTTCCCTCAGGCAGGTGGAGCCAAGTGACCCTTGACTGAATTCTCTGAAGCTATGAGCCAAAATAGTAACTTTTTAACGATGAAATATTTAATGGAGGAACGATTTGTTTTAGCTCATGGCTTAAGACAGTCGAAGATAACTTTAGCTCTCTGTCAGCAAATTCCATCTCTCCACAATCTGATGTTTTATTTAGCCAAGGTCAAACGGTCTGAAGGATCCTCAATATAGTTGTGGCTTCTTCAGAGAACTCCAATTCCAGGGCTCAGATCATTGCAAGTGAGGTTTGCTGACTGCCAGAAGCAGCTGGTGGGCCATTCCAAACTGGAGCTGGCTGCAAGCCTGCCTGGTGTGGATCCGTCCTGTGCACTGGTGCGCTCTGTCACCCAGCAACACTGGCTCCCTCCCACCAACTGCAGACAGCACCCTGTTCCATCACTGCCCCTCTCAAGGGGCAACACCCCGCCTCCCCCACTGCCCACACGTGGCTGCATAGTTCCAGAGGCTAAGGCCTTCTGATGCCTGTCTGCTCAACCGAGTTCCTCTTACCCTGTGCCCCTGGCTAGTTCTCCACCCTGCCCAGGACGAGGGAGAAACCCAGGACACAAAGGCTTCCTGGGACTGGCTGCCCTTGCTCAGGTGAAGAGGAACAGAATGTTTATCTCCTGAGTGAGCCAGCACACACACCACTCACACACAGGCACACCACACTCATATATGTATAGCATACTCCCACGCACACTGTACACATACACACATGCACACCACATACTGCACAGACATGCATGAGCACACACACACACACACACACACACACGCATTAACACACACACACGCATTAACACACACACACACACTGCATACACATGCATGAGCACACACATGAACTCGTGTGCATGTTGGGTGATTCCTGACTCTGTTCCTCTTTTTCAGGAACCCCCTCAGAGTTTATGGACATCAGTCTACAAGGGTCTTGAGTTTCTCCACTAGAAGCTGCTTCCTGGATATTTAACTGTGTGTCTGAGTGTGTCAATGGGTGCACATGCTCATGTTCAACATGTGTGTAGATTGCTTATGTGTTATCTGTTTTTAAAGTACATCAAGACAACAATATTAATCAAGATAGAAAACAGAATTGGCAGCCAACCCTCATCTCACTGACACAGCGTATTCTTGTGTTCAGTCAATGGCGTACACGTGCACCAGGGTGGTCCCTAAAGACAGCATTGCCCAGTGACACTGCAGCGTCAACACATAGTGCCAATGGCATTGCCCAATGGGGGTGCAGTGCTCCGAAATACTTTCAGGCTCTATGATCAACTATAATCAACCATGATCAGCTTTGGAATAAATACCTCTGAATATTTATTATCCACAGCATATGTATGCATATATATGCGCATACATATGAGCCTTGGTTTCTATGGGACACTTTCCTAAAAATAGGACTACTTTGGTGGAAGAATATGCATATGTTTAAGTTAGAGGTTGATGGCTTCTGCCTGGGGCAAGACAAGACAGGGTTCTGGGAGAAGGAGCCATCTAAAACTGTTTTGAAAGAATGAGGAGAGCCTGTAGTCTGAGGAAGGGTCCCGGGAGTGACCTGCAGTCTGAGGAAGGGTTCCGGGAGTGACCTGCAGTCTGAGGAAGGGTCCCGGGAGTGACCTGTTAGGGCACAGGTTAGAAAGAGAAGCTGCAGAGGTCCAGTGGGATCAGGGAACCGTATTGACCCTAACCTTCCACAATGAAACGAATCACAGTAATAACCACAAGAAGAACAGCAACTGGAACAGCGGAGTTAGCTCAATCGGGAAAGCACTTGCCTTGAGAGTATGAGGATCTGAGTTCAATTCCCGGAACCCATGACAAATTAAGAATAAAAACTGGGTGTGGTGGCCCACACTCATAATCCAGAGTGACAGATGGCAGCATACAGATTGGAAACGAGAGAAAATGTGCATGCGGTTGGTGAAGTAAGGGTTGTGACAGTGAGGCCTCAAGGTTGTGTCACTTGGAGTCTACAGAAGCCCAGTCTATCTGGTGAGCTACCAAGACCCTGTCTCAACACAGCAGAGTGGACAGCCTTTCTGAGGACAACATCGGAGTTTGTCTCCAGCCTCTACATGTACTTGTGTGCACGTGTGAACTTGCACACACACACAAAGGCATGTGTGCCCACATACATTCAAACATGTGTACATACACATACAGAGACAGAGAGAGAGAGAGAGGAGAGAGACAGAGAAAGGAGAGAGACGAGAGAGAGAGAGAGAGAGAGAGAGAGAGAGAGAGAGAGAGAGAGAGAGAGAGAGAGAGAGAGAGATGCTGGTGCACTACAGTGCTGACTTGGCCCTGGCAGGGTCCTAAGCACTAGATCTCAGCAGCCTCATGGGAGAAGTAGATGCCCCCCCCATTTCCAGAGGAAGAAGAAGAGAAATGGAAAGATGACAGACCAGGTGGAGTTACTCAGTCAGTCTGGGCTCCTCCTTCTGCCCTTGATGAGGAACCCCCCAAGGAAAGGAGGCTTACCTCTAAGGCCCCCAGACCCCATATGGAGCTGTCCCTGCAGGACACACAGATCGGGGGCTGTACGACAGGATGTGTTCACTGCCAGCCCCGAGCCAGGCCCCCTCCTCAGAGCTTCACACAGACTCTTCACGGCAGCCCCAACTGATGCCAACTGATTGTCACCACAGGGCAGAGGAGGACACAGACACCAGAGAGTTAAGTCATCAGTGAGGTCATGGGTCAGTGAGTAGCTGAGCCTGACCTCAAATCCTGGTCACCGGAATCCAGATCCCTGATCTTCTGTAGCATACATGTTCATTTACACATCAGCACACTCCTAACAGTATGTCCCTGCTCATGTGTGTCAACATGTGTGCACACATACAAACAAACATGTTAAGTGTGGTGTGGTTGTCCTCCGTGTATATGTTTCTCTTATTGGTTAATGAATAAAACACTGTGGCCAAGTGGGGCATTGGTAGCCCACGCCTTTAATCCCAGCACTCAGGAGGCAGAGGCAGGCGGATCTCTGTGAGTTCGAGGCCAGCCTGGTCTACAGAGCGAGTTCCAGGACAGCCTCCAAAGCCCCAGAGAAACCCTGTCTCAAAAAACAAACAAACAAAAAAAACCACTGTGGCCAATAGAGGCAGGGAGATAGGTGGGACTAGGAGAGGAGGATTCTGGGAAAGGTAGAGGAGGATTCTGGGAAAGGCAGGAGGCGGACACTGTCGCCATGTAGCCGCCAAAGGAGTTAGAGGTCCAGACCCTTCTCCAGTAAGCCAAGACCACATGGAAATACATAGATTTATAGAAATGGGTTAATAATTAAGACAGGGATAGCCAATAAGAAGCCTCAGTCATTAGCCAGCAGATTTATAATTAGTATAGCATCCGTGTGCTTCTTTGGGGCTGAGAAGGGCGGCGGGACCAGCCAGGACAAAGGCCGTCTCCTTACACATGTGCATTGGTCGGTCACTCACGTGCAGGCACTCAGAGAGAAGGGGATTTGAACCTGAGGTGTGTTGTGGGCTATTTGTACGCTGTGTGAAGATGGATTGCTGCGATTGGTGTAATAAAAAGATGAACAGCCAATAGCTAGGCAGGAGGTGTGGCCAGATTTCTGGGGAGAGGAAGGAAGGGGGGAGGAGTCTAGGCACAAGAGAGAAGCCAGGAGACACAGAGAGGAAACAGGAGTTGTGAGATGGAAGAGAGGTAACACCATATGGTAGGACATGGATTAATATAAATGGCTTGAGTTATAAGAGCTGGTTAGGAACAAGTCTAAGCTTGAGGCTGAGCTCTCATAATTAATCACACATCTCCATATTATGCGGGAGCTTGATGATGGGACACAAAGAGACTCATTAGGGAGGTGAGCTCCACAGCTTCAGGAGGGAGCAAGACTCATACATGGGTCCACATGGAGCTTCCCAGTTGGAGCAGGTGAGCACCACGAACCAAGTGTTAAAGTTACAGAGCTCGGGGCTGGAGAGATGGCTCAGAGGTTAAGAGCACTGACTGCTCTTCCAAGGGTCCTGAGTTCAATTCCCAGCAACCACATGGTGGCTCACAACCATCTGTAATGAGATCTGGTGCCCTCTTCTGGCCTGCAGGCACACATGCAGACAGAACACTGTATACATAATAAATAAATCTTAAAAAAAAAATGTTACAGAGCTCAGGACCCCATGCTGCTCGGGAGGCTCCGTCCACCCCTGTGGGTCCCTCTTCTGTGAACCCAGCAACATCGTGACCCGTGTGCATGTCTGTGGAGGACATGGGAACTGTGAAGCGCTGAGAGCCACACCGGGTACACCGTGAGAAATGCCCAATAAGCACAGAAGCGAAAATTCCCATGAGCACAGGGTTCTCCGACTCCCAGCACCAGGCAGACACCATGAGGCTTTGCACATAGCCCACCACTGCCCCTGGTTTCAAAATCACATCGATCTGGGCATCCAATGAAACGTCACCATCAGCTAGAAAATCGCCTGCCTTTGTTATTTCCCCATGCTGGCTGATCCTATCGGAGGCCTCATAATTATTTCCTTTGTCCCTCCTGTTCCCTTCTGTGGGCGTTGACACAGGATGACAGCTGCACCTGGACTTGTTTTTAGATTTCAATTTTTTTTGGTTTTTCGAGACAAGGTTTCTCTGTGGCTTTGGAGGCTGTCCTGGAACTCACTCTGTAGACCAGGCTGGCCTCGAACTCAGAGATCCGCCTGCCTCTGCCTCCTGAGTGCTGGGATTAAAGGCGTGTGCCACCAACGCCCGGCCGGACTTGTTTTTAATCACCTCAGAAATGCACAGGAAATTGTATGGTTTGGGGACAGGCGGGCATCAGAGGGGCAGGGAGTTCATAAGGACAGGCCAAGGGGAAGGCCAAGAAGCAGCAGAGAGATGCCCCCGGGGCGGAGTCGTCAAAAAACGTTCACAGTCCAGGTGAAGTGTGCTGGGGGCTTTATTCCTGTGGGAGTTTCCACAAAGAGAGGCCAGCCCCTCCCTGCCTCGAGTTGAAGATGAGAGATGGAGCCCACTGCGTCTCTTGACAGAACCGACTCCACCCACCAGGGCCGTCCCAACACTGAGTCTTGCACGTGACTCCCTGCTCCTCCCCACCGCGTTGCCCTGGCCTCCCTGCTTCTAAAGCGTGCCCGAGAGGACATCTTCCTGTCGCCACACACTGGCTGCACCCTGCCCTGGTCTCCTCATCCTCTCTCTCCTCACACAGGTCCAATCCAGGGGTCACGGGGCTTTCTCCTGCACCAGTGTGTGAAGAGGGCCTGCGTTCGTCCACTGTTTCCTCACCGATAACTTCCCTCATCAACCTGACTGACTCTAGAGTCACAGCAGACAACACTCAGAGGTGTGTCTCCTGGAGGGAAAAGCCCTTTCTCTACTTCCTGAATGTGACGACATGTCTTGCTCCTGCTACCATGCCTTCCTGCGGTGATGGACTATGCTTCTTCCTAACCCCTAAACTAAAATAATCCCTGAGCTGCTTCTGTCAGCAGCAGGAAAAGGAAGTAAATTGGTGCTGAGGGTGAGGTCGCGGGGTCGTTGCTATGGTAAATGAGCCATATTGTTTGTAGCCTTTGGGCCGGGTTCATGGAGGAATGACAGCTGGAGAAGCCCTGGGGTGCAAGAAGCTAAACTGAGAGGCACGTCTTGTGGGAGTGTGGAAGACCAGGGTTCTGAGGAGACGGGAACTGTAAAAACTGGCTCACAAGGTTTCAGAGGGGACCCAGGATGCCATTAGGAACTGGGCAAGAAGCCATGCGTGGCTTCCTGAAAAATGTGAGTGAGACTGAGTTCAAAAGCAACTCGGCAGAGGAAATTTCAAAGCAGCGCAGTGTCCAGACCACAGTGTGGTTGGTGACTGCTTGCTGCCGTGTGCTGACCTGAAGCGAGCTGACCACTTACTGTGGCATGGTGACCTGCGGCATGGTGACCACTCACTGCTTTTAGTCAGAGTGAGAGTGGCAGATAGCAGCACACAGAGCAGAAACATGAGGGAATGTACATTGAGGTCAGGAAAGAACTGTGATGGCCAGCTCAGCCTGCCATTTCGTTTTGAGGGGTACAGATGCAAAGTGTGTTGTTTATAAATGGCACTTTGGAAGGCTCATGGCTTTCACAACAAACCCAGCTTGTCTGCATCTTGCTTTGGGGAGCAGAAGACAAAATGGGCCACGTTTGGTTTTCCTCAGACAGGTGTAAGGCAGGGCAGAACCCAGCCAGAGCTGGTTGCAGCAAAAGTTTGGTTGTGGGGTGGCCTGTGATCTGGGCCTGGCTTTCATTACCTCAGTCTTTTTGTACTCATGTATGTTTGAAATTTTCCAAAAC